GGCGATCAAAAGCGACTCAGTGGGTGCGGAGTTGTGTGTGTAGATCAGGCGTGAGCCAGGTCGGACGCATAGCCACAGCACCAGCGAGGAGCCTGAGGCGAGAGCGAGAGAGCGTGTAAAACTGAAGAACGATCCATTTGTTGTATAGAACGTAAGATCCCATAAGTATAAGATACCAATAAAACATCCAAAACCAGTAATTAAACCCACCCGTGCATTCTTTCGTGTCTGTGAGGCAACATACAAATTTGTTGCCACGAACCGTCGGCCGCTGCTCCATGGATGGAGCCGCTCCCCGAGGCCGTCCGTCAGTAGACCACGGCCAAAGAGTGTGGATCCAGCGGAGGCCCGGAACACCACGACGCGGGAACCATCGAGGAGCCGCAACGAAGAGGGGCGGGAAGTTCCCGAGGCGCAGGCCGGGAGGCAGTCGCGCATACTATACGCGAACGTAGCCAAACAGGTGAGGGAATGGTCGTTCCGTTTCGATGGGACTGCGAAGCCCCTGGAGTTTCCGGAACAGGTCGAATGGTCGGCCGATATGTACGGGCTGGACGTGAATCTGATTCCCAGAGCGATGCCAGAATTGCTGAAGGGCCGGGCATTGATGTGGTTCATCGCCAATAATCGGCAGTGGCACACGTGGGAAGCCTTCGCAACAAGCTTCCAGGCCTACTTCTTGCCGAGGGGGTACTTCGAGAAGTTGCTCCAAGAGGTACGACAAAGGAAGCAAAAATGGGGAGAGCCATTCAAGGACTACATGGTGGACATGCAGACCCTCATGAGACCCCTCAAATGTACTCCCGAGGAGCAGATGGAGCTCATCCGCGAGAATAGCATGCCAGACCTGCGGATATTCATCAGGCCACATAGGTGCAAGGACCTGGACCACATGATGATGCTAGCGGATGAGTTCGAGGCTCTGGAGAGGGATCGCGTAGAGTTCCAGAAGGAGAGTCCAGCGGGAAGAGCGAAAGCGGCAAATCCCTTCTCGAAGTCGGCCGTGACTGAAATATGCCGGAGGTGCAAGGACGAGCCGGCCGCCGTAGCGGGACAAACAAAAGCGAAAGTGGAGGCACCGGCGGCGGAGGACCAGACGCATTCCAATATAGAGGGGGATACGTTAAGAATCCCGCCCAAGCATGCCGACGATGCGGAAGTGACGAGCACTGGTCACAGGCATGTCAAGGGCGCCCGTTGACATTCTGCTGGAGGTGTGGAAAGGTCGGCGTCACGACATGGCAGTGCTGCAAAAAGTCGGGAAACGCCCCGCGACCCAAGCCGAGGAGGGCCGTGCCGGGGTCGCAGGATGCAGTCCCCGAAACCTAATCGGTGAACTCACCGTGGAGGATGTGCAGCTGTCAGCCGTGGTGGACATCGCAGGGAGGAAATGGAAGGCCACGGTCGACACAGGGGCCACTAGCAGCTTTGTCAGCTGTGAGCTGGCGGAACAGCTGCGAGGGGAGGGGCGCGAGGAGAAAACCGACAAGCAGGTGCGGTTGGCCGATGGACGCCGTCGCACCATCGAGACAAAAATCGAAGTGGAACTGGCGTTCGGAGACAAAGTGGTCTCAATGGCGCTTCTGGTGCTGCCAGGAGTCATCGATGCGCTGGTACTAAGCTGGGATTTCATTGCCGCAGTCGGAGCAGAGGTGACCTGTGCGGGGCACAGGGTCGTGATCCCTGCGAGAGGCCGACGGAAAGGGCGGGTGGAAGAAAGGCTGTCGGTGGCAGTAGTGGAGGCCAATGAGGAGTCCCCAGAAGGAATGGCGGATGAGGAGTCCGAAGCCGAGTATCCCACGGGAAGCAGGCGCCGCGACAGTGCAGAGGAAGGCCCGTTCGAAGAATTTCTGGCCAAGGAATTGGAGGAATTCAAGAGGATGAAAGGGGTATCGAACGTGGCGGTGCATACGATCACAATGAGCGATGCGATACCGGTTAAGCAGCGATACTACCCTAAGAACCCAAAGATGCAGGCGGAGATCAACCAAAAGGTAGACAAGCTGCTGGAAATGGGGTGTATCGAGCCATCAAAGAGCCCTTATAGTTCCCCCATCGTAATGGTTAAAAAGAAAACTGGTCAGTGGAGGTTGTGCGTGGACTTCCGACAAATCAATGCAAAGTCTTTCAAGGACGCATACCCAATGCCGCGGATTGACTACATCTTAGATCAGCTGAGGGAAGCACGGTTCATCAGTAGCTTGGATTTGAAGGACGGGTATTGGCAAATACCACTGGAAAAGGCCTCGGCCACGTTTCAGAGGGCGTTGGACCAGGTTATTGGTCCGGAAATGATGCCGCATGCTTTCGCATACCAAGACGATATCATCGTTATAGGCCGAACGAAAGACGAGCACCAACGTAATCTGGAGAAGGTGTTCCGACGCTTAAAAAGGGCCAACTTAAGGTTGAATGTGGAAAAATGCCAGTTCGGCCGAAGGGAGCTGCGGTACATGGGGCATTTGGTGACGGGGGAAGGCATCTGCACTGATCCGGAAAAGGTGGCCGCCATCGCAGAGCTGAAGCCACCGGCGAACGTGAAAGAGCTTCGCCAGTACCTGGGCGTCGCCTCATGGTACCGACGATTCGTGCCAGGATTCGCCACCATGGTACAGCCGCTTAGCACATTGCTGAAGAAAAAGGTGAAGTGGGAATGGGCATCAGAGCAACAAAAGGCATTTGAGTCCGTGAAGGGTCGGCTGGTAGCCGATCCGGTGCTAACCTGCCCGGATTTCTCGAAGAAGTTTGTGCTACAGACGGACGCCAGCGACTATGGATTGGGAGCGATTCTCACCCAAGAAACGGAGAAGGGCGAAAGGGTGATCTCATACGCCAGCCGAACGCTGAACAGTGCGGAGAAGAATTACTCGGCTACAGAGAAGGAATGCCTGGCAATTGTGTGGGCCATCAGGAAGCTCAAACCCTATTTGGAAGGGTATCACTTGAAGGTGGTCACCGACCACATGGCATTGAAGTGGCTCAACAGCATAGAGAGCCCGACGGGGAGAATCGCAAGATGGGCGCTAGAGTTACAGCAATACGACTTCGAAATAGCGTATAGGAAGGGGAAGCAGAACGTGGTGGCTGACGCGCTATCTCGACAGCCCATGGAAGAGCGATGTATGCGAGCGGAGGACGTTGGACAGGAGCCCGAAGAGCAATGCTCATGGATAAAGAAGGTCAAGGAGAAGATGAGAAGGGAGCCGGCCAAGTTCCCAGATTATATGGAGGAGGCAGGCGGGGTGTACCGGCATATCCCGCACCGGGCCGGCGACGAAGAAGTAGTAGCTTGGAAGCTTTGCGTGCCGAAGGATCGGCGGGAGCGGGTCATGAGGGAGAACCACGATATCCCGGACGCGGGTCACGCCGGCGGCAGGAAAATGATGGCAAGGATAGCTGCCAGGTACTACTGGCCGGGGATGCACCGAGACGTGAGGACGTATGTCAGGAAATGTGACACCTGCATGCGTTTCAAACCAAGTCAGGCACAGGCGGCCGGGAAGATGCTGACACAAGTACCAGAGGAACCATGGGCGACGGTGTGCGCGGATTTTGTGGGACTATTGCCCAGATCAAAACACGGCAACGCCATGCTGTTGGTGCTGGTGGACCGGTTTTCAAAATGGACCGAGCTGGTGCCAATGAGAAAGGCCACGGCAGAAGCCCTGATAAAGGCTTTCAGAGAACGAATATTGGCCCGGTTCGGCGTACCCAAGGTGATGATCACCGACAATGGGGTACAATTCACCAGTCGGGCGTTTAAAAAGTTTCTGGATCAGATGGGAGTTCGACACCAGTTTACGGCACCGTACACGCCGCAAGAAAACCCGACGGAACGCACCAACAGAACGGTGAAAACCATGATCGCGCAGTTCACCGAAGGGGACCAGAGATGCTGGGACGAGAAGTGGCCCGAGTTAATGCTGGCCGTGAACTCTGGGGTCACTGAGTCCACTGGATTCGCACCAGCATTCATAGTGCAAGGGAGAGAGCCCAGGCTGCCGAAGGCGTTGTACGATGAGGAAACACTCGGCACTGGTCAGGAGACAAACACTCCGGACGAACACGCGGTAAAACTGAAAGAAATTTTTCAGCTGGTGAGGCGGAATTTGGAAAGAGCAGCCCAGGATCAGGCAAGATATTACAACTTGCGAAAGAGAGCTTGAAAGCCCAAGGTCGGTGAAAATGTGTGGGTTAAACAGCACCACCTGTCTAACGCAGCCGAGGGGTTCGCAGCAAAATTGGCCCCAAGGTATGCCGGTCCCTACCAGATCACTGATTTCGTGTCACCGGTGATATGCAAGCTGCGTAGAGACAGCGATAGGCATACACGGACGGCACATATTGGGGATCTGAAGCCACAGGCAAACGACGAAGGAAAATAAGGAGTCAGAAACGGGTGGAGCGATCCAGAAGCCAAAGGCGTTCGGCTGACCGAGACCCGGGCGGAGAGATACCCTCGGGGGTCCAGTGAAGTGGGAGTGATACTCCGGGTCCTGGGGTCCAGTGTGCCTGGGTCATCTACAGCCGTCGGGCTTGGCTGGGCAGAAGACACTACCCACGCGTTGCTGACGGGCGAGGAGTCGGATGATCCTCGGGTCCGAAGCAGCTGCGTGGGGCAGAGGTCACGCCAAAGGTCAAGCCGGAGGCGGCAATGAGGTGACGAGCCAGGGCCGATCGTCATATTGCAGCCAGGCGAAAGGTCGGAGGACATGTTAGTCAGGGGCAGGTATGACGATTGGCATCACGGATCAAGGATGCAAGATGGGCTGGAGAAGAAGCCAGAGTCATTAAAGGATAGCGCACATTCACAGTACTCACATGGGCTGAAGGGGGTGTCGATCAGTCGGGGGGAGAGGGGAAGCCGGGCGGCAAGGCCTAAGAAAAAAAAGGAAAAAAAAGGAAAAAAAAAGGAAAAAAAAAAGAAAGAATATTATAAATGTGAAAAGGAAAATATATATAGTTAAAGTTTCTTCAAACAAAAGGGGGTGGGATCAGGTATGATCGGGTGCGAGCAGACCCCCACCGGCCGCGGAAGGGTTAACGCGGCGAAGAGCCCAATGCTGAGAGGCAGGAACCTTCGAGAGAGCGGGAGAAGGAATGCCCAACTACCGTACGACGGAACGACGGGAAAAACAGCAAGGGCTCGACGGCGGCAGAGGCTGGAGCTGTCGATCAGTCACGAGCCAGAGGTAGACACAAACGCAAGAGCGGACTTTAAAAGAGAGGAGAAAAAAAAAAAAAGGAAGAAAATCGCCATGTTGGAATTTTACTTGGAGGAACAAGCCCGAAGTGTGGGGAGCCGCAATCCCGAGATCCAGCGCCAGCGACGGGCGGAGCCCTCGCGAGGTGAGCGATGCGATCGGCGGAGCGAGACTCCAGAGTTGGAGCTCATGGCGTCCCCATTCACAAGCCCCATGGCATCCCCAAGGAGCGAGTGGTCCTCGTGGGCGTCTCCTCGAAGCAGACGGGAGCCGGAAGTGTCGCCAGGAGCAACGGAGGAGGAGGACAGCGACGACAGCGACGTGGTGGTGGTCTCCGTCGAGCCGGCTCCGAGGAGAGCCGAGCTCCGGAGATGGCAGCTCAACGACGAGGAGAAGCGGGCACGGGAGCAGGAGCTGCGACGCGACGCAGCGTTCCTCGGCATCGCCATCCGATCGGCGGAGCGCTATTTGCGTGAGCGGAAGCGCGAAACTGCAGGGCAACGGGAGCCGAAGCAGCCGTTGAAAACCAGGCCGCCAGCGACGCCATCGCAGCCGACGTCAAGGCCAGCAGCAGCGCAGCAGGGACGGACGGCAGAGGTACAGTTGCAACGGAGAGCGCAGGCCTCAGCACACCCGACAGCGCAGCCGCCAGCAGCGCAGCCGCCAGCGACGTCAGCAGCGCAGCCGCCAGCGACGTCAGCAGCGCAGCCGCCAGCGACGCCAGCGGCGCAGCCACCAGCGACGCCAGCAGCGCAGCCGCCAGCGACACCAGCAGCACAGCCGGCAGCGACCCCAGCAGCGCGACCAACAGCCGAGACCGTGCGGAGGAGCCAGATGGAGCAGCAGCGCAATCGGCGAGCAGCAGCAGAGGCGCGACGCGAGGAGGAGCGGCGACGCGAGGAGGGACGGCGACGCGAGGAGGAGCGGCGACGCGAAGAGGGGCGACGACGCGAGGACGAGCGGCGACGCGAGGAGGAGCGACGACGCGAAGAGGAGCGGCGACATGAGGAGGAGGCCCGAAGCAAGGCAGCGGAGAAGGCGCAAAGGGAGGCGGCGCTGAACAAGGCCATGATGCGGGAAGCATATGCCGCCCTGCAACGGCAGATGGAGGCCGCGCGGCGGGAAGCCGAAGCTCACGAGAGGATCGAGGAGGAGGCTCCGCCTCCTCCGAGGTTCCTCAAGGTGAGGACAGGTCTGTTTAGCGGACCGACGGGGCAGCAGCAACCCAAACAGGGTGAGGAGGCACCCTTATGGGAACGCCGGCACCCCGAGCCACCGCCGCAGCCACAGAGCACACAACAACCAACGCCCCCGCAGTCACCGCCACCAAAATCGCCACCGCCGAACGCACCGACACAACAGTCGTCGTCACGACAGGAGGAGGCACCGAAGGAGCCGCCACAGGAAGAGGCCCAGCAGCCCCAGTGGGGTGGTCCGGAGACCGCGGTGTGCGGGCCATTTGTGTCACAAAACGTGCACACGGCGGTAAGGAATGGCATGATATGGCACCACCAAGTTATCCACATAACGTGGGCGTCGGGACCCGCACCATCGGAAGCGCAGGAAGAACGGAAAGTATGGGAGGAGGAACCGGCCCCGCGAAGCAACGCGCGTGATCCACGACAGCACCGGAGGCAGGCAGAGGCCATGATGGCAGAGGAGACGGCGTCGGAGGAGCGGGAGCCAGCGGCAGCGAAGGCACCGGCTGCGACGGCGACAGAGGCACCGACAGCGGCAGCAACGGAGGGGGCGGCAGCGACGGAAGAGGCGGCAGCGCCAGCGACGGCGACGGCAACGGAAATACCGACAGCGGCGACGGAGGTACCGGCAGCGACGGTGACGGAGGAACCGGCAGTGCCAGCAACGACGACGGCGACGGAGGTACCGGCAGCGAACACGGAAGGCGAGAGGTGGGAGCGCGGTCCGTGGGTGTGGCCCTCACCTGCGAAAGACAAGCCTAGGCCTGTCCTAGTGCGGCAATCGTCGTGCCCGGATCCCAGGGCTGAGGTCGCCCGGCCGCAGCTGCAGAGACAGCAGTCGGTGGAGGAGCCGACGGGGAAGAACGTCCGCTGGCGACATGTGGATGTTGAAGAATGGCCGGAGGCAGTGGCTCGGGCGGTGGAAGGCACACGCCGGATCGGTCGACGCGTAAAGCGTCTCGTGAGGGTGCGCGGGGTGCGGTACCGGGTATCAGCATCGGCAAACCAGGTCGAGGTGTCCGTCGAGGCATGAAAGGGGGGAGGGAAAATTTGTGAATGAGATTAAAATGAATAAAGAATGAAGTACAACTTACCCCGGGGCATGGCAGCTTGATGTCGGGATAGGCGGGGGGTTAACACGCGAGGTATACAGAGCCCACGAGGGCAGCAACATGAAACTTACGCGAAAACGTGGCCGGCCAGCGTATACAATAGTTACCGCAAGCGGAAGCAACACGTGAAAAGGGGAGCGGTCCGGCAACACGTGAAGAGGGTCTGGCAGCACGTTCAGAGGCGCACATATCGTGCACCTATCGTGCACGCAAAGCGCGCACCTATCGTTCACGCGAAGCGCGCACCTACCGGGAGAATCATGCACGGGGCTGGTTCCGGAACTGCATCGGCAGACCCGATCCGATAGGTGGCGAACCGATCGGGCAGTGGAGGAACCAGTCCGGAACCAGCGTGAGTGCGCGCCCGCGCGCACGCTTGAATTCAAATGGGAAGGTGGCCGAAAGGAAAACGAAGGGAGTTTTCCTCTGGTAAAGAAAGGGGGAAGTGTGAGGAATGGAGTTTCCTCACAAGGGAACCAAGTAAGGGTTAAGACGAGAATTCACGGCGAATTCACAAGAGAGTGAGAGCCGGGGTCCGTTAGAGTGGCAGGGGTCCAGTGCATGACCATATATGGGCATGAGAGTATGCCTCCGGTACGAGCCCGTGGAGGGAGTCGGGAATGGAGGAGCCCGCAAGGAGCGGCGCTCACGTCAGGCTAGGAACGGCGGGAGCGGGCCGGCAGCGGTCCAGCGCATGTCCATGTATGGACATGAGATCGCGCCACCAGCCCGGTCCCGTTAAGAACGTGAGGGAATGAAGCGAAGAGGCTGATGGCAGCGGTCCAGCGCATGTCCATGTATGGACATGAGATCACGCCACCAGCCCGGTCCCGTTAAGAACGTGAGGGAATCAAGCGAAGAGGCCGATGGAAAATTACCAGCGGCGCACGGATTTAGCGCTGTTGCTAGGCAGAGGCGCGGACGCTAGCGTCGAAGCGAGGGTATAAGAGGAGCCCGGCAACAGTGAAGGAGGACAGTCAGTGGAGTGCGAGCAACGAGGAAAAAGCGTGAACACAAGCGAGTGCGTGAGGACAACTGACAAGGAAAGTCGACGTGAGAGTCGAAGGAAGAACCAAAGTGACCCATCCAACAGGCAGCAGTACGACCCGGCAAGGGGAACAAGGTCTGCGAGGTGCCAGAGGAAGGACGACAGGTACCGCTTCCGCAAAGGCGATCAAAAGCGACTCAGTGGGTGCGGAGTTGTGTGTGTAGATCAGGCGTGAGCCAGGTCGGACGCATAGCCACAGCACCAGCGAGGAGCCTGAGGCGAGAGCGAGAGAGCGTGTAAAACTGAAGAACGATCCATTTGTTGTATAGAACGTAAGATCCCATAAGTATAAGATACCAATAAAACATCCAAAACCAGTAATTAAACCCACCCGTGCATTCTTTCGTTTCTGTGAGGCAACATACAAATTTGTTGCAACGAACCGTCGGCCGCTGAGCCAGCCTCGCTGAGTTAGACGGACAGAAACAGTTCGTTACAATATATGCTATGTTTTTCAGAAGCGGTTCGGTACATTTTGGGAGAAGGATGTACCCGAAAACAACGAGGCGTTTTTTAAGGAAAGTTTTAGGATGGAGAGATCCTGCTTTTCTCTGTTGGTTACTCGCTTGGAAGTGCTACGGAAGAAGGACACAAGCTGCCGAGCTGCAATTCCTCTGGAGAAGCGTATCGCCATATCTTTATATACTTTGGGATCTTCTTCCGAAAAGAGTGTTTTTCGGAGTGTCAGCCAACAGCGTCTGCAATATCCTGCATGAGTTTTGCAGAGCATTCATCAACGAATTCTCAGAGGAATACATGTCCAAAAACTATGTCACTTCAGAGAAAATTGACGAGTGTGTCCAAGCATTTGAAGAAATTTGGTTTCCTCAGTGCCTGGTGCAATTGGTAATAATGCAATAAAATCATCCATAATATATGTATATACATATATGTAAATTAATTTCATCACTTAATTTTTATGTTAGATGGATGTCACATCGAAATAAAACCACCTGCAGCTGATATTTGATATTTTTTTATTTTTTGCGTGCTTTGTCAGATCTGATGGGGTTATTTTGTTTTATTTTTATATTTTCCTGTCTGTCATTGCTTACATTTTCGTAGTGATCTCCGATTTTTTGTTGTGAAATATGGTTGCATTTGACAATTATCGAAAAAATACCGCACTGAAACGTGAGAATTAGGAACATCCCAGATGGATGGTGGAATAACAGGGAAATTTTCGGAACGGCAAAACCTTACGGACCATCCCAGAAATGGATGGTGGATGGTCCCCAGTGTGAAAAGGATATTATAGTAATTATTTGGCAATTTCCACTGCCAATTGGCAAATTGGTGTTTCGGTCCTTTGTTGTTGTTTTTTGTTCCGTGCATTAGAGGTGGTGCAATCCAAAAATATCGGTATCGCAATCCAGTCTTGCATTCGACCAAAAATAAATTAATAAAAAATAAAAAGATAATTTCCAAACAATCACACCGACACTACAAGAAATAAATTGAACGATTCACGAGTTCTAATTTAAACCGTTTCGTCATCCTTTTTCCTTTTTTTTCTGTTTTTCTTCGGTATTTCTCCCGATAGTTCTCCAGCGCCCACTCCGCAGTCATATTCTTGACTGTAGCTTCCGGTAACGTTTACGGCGGCTAGGTTTATCTGCACTTTGTCGATCCAAACCGACATAAAGAGCAAACTATCGCCCATTCCAATCAACTATCGAGGATATAAATGCCATTCCGTCCGCCGTCCATCCGCAAATAACCCAGTTCTGATCACGACTGCGTCAAAGAGGTAAACGGAGGAGCCCGCACTAACAATATTTGCAAAATATTGCCCAAATCAGTGTGACCGGTCCTCTCCTCGGCTCAGCGCAATATCGGTCACTCATTGTTTGAGAAACTTCACTTCACGGTGATCTCTAACAATCCGAGTCGACCCGACTATTGTTTTCCAACAAGCTCGAGCCCTTTTTCCTGACAGCCTTTCATAAGTGGGTTATATTTGTTTCCCTTCCAAATCCGATTTTCTGTGCGTGTGTGAGTTCGGAATATGCCAACAGGTCACAAGGACGGCAACCAGCTTTTGCCTGTGACCTCTTCCAACCGGCTACGCACTTCGTCCGCCTCCGGAACTACGCCGACTCAGAGAATCAAGGCACCCCTCACTCCGAGAGCAGCCAGTAGCAGCCCTGCGGCAAGGACCAAATCGGTTCTGTTCCCGTCTCCTGTCACTCTTAAGGTTCCAGCTGTGACCAAACAAGATCCGAAGGGCTCCTTCGTCAGCAGCCCCGTCAGCTCTCGCCACTGCATCACAATGGCTCAATCCGCCACCTAAGTCGCTCGGACCAAATTGGTCGCCGCTATTAGCCGACTGTCGCACCTGGCAGAGCGCATCACCGCCGCCCCATCCACCTCTTTGTCCGAGGTCCGTCGAGGCCAAATCCTCAGCATGTGGACGGACGTCGAGGCCGAATATAAGGCCTGCTCCGCGGTGATGACTGACGAGGAGCCAGAAATCCAAGCGGACATCCGTGACACATACGGTGAATGCTATGGGGTATTTGAGCAGTGCCTCAGTGACCTCAATGGCCAACTGGCCACATCCACAGTTCTTCCTCCTTCACAGCCATTCCAACAGGGCGGCTGTCCACTGCCTCCCGTCAACATTGAGGCATTCTCAGGGGACTACGTCCGCTGGCCCACATTCCGGGATCTGTTCACCGCGGTCGTGATTAATAATCCAAAATTATCTCCGGTAGAGAAATTGTACTACCTCACCGAGAAGACCAAACCTTTTGAGACCAGAGAATCCAAAGGCCATCGTAGAAAAATCCCAACTCACCAATGACGGTTTCGAGTCCGCATGGTTGGCTCTCCGCAGCCGATATGAAAATAGTCGGCTTCTGGTGACCAACCAAATTAACATCCTCCTTTTTGCCCCGCGTAACGTCCGAGTGCAGTCGTGCCTTGAAGGATCTTCAAAGTACGATGCAAGGAGTCCTAAATGCGCTAGCGGTCTCCAACGTCTGCACGGACAACTGGGATAGTCTGCTTGTGACCATCTGCGCTTCCAAATTGCCGAATTTGAGCCGGGCGTTATGGGAAGCGTCCGTAACGGACAAAAAGGAGGTGCCGCCCTGGAAGGAAATCGACTCCTTCCTCACTCAGCGATACCTAACGCTAGAGGCTATCGAGGCTATCCACGTCCCAAGGCGCTCCGAATCCGCCACCCGCCAAAGGCAGTCAGAATCCGCCATCCTCCCAAAGCCAGTCCAATCCGTTCCGTTCTCAAGGCAGTCTTGTTCCAAGGACAGCGCACTCGTTCCAAAACAACGTGAATCAGAGCAAGAGCACGTGTGATCTTTGTTCCAAGGAGAATCACCCAATCCGACTATGTCCTAATTTCCTACAAATGACCGTGGATGTCCGCTCCAACTGCATAAAGCAAAAGCAGCTCAGCTTAAATTGCTTCGCAAGAGGCCATCAGCTTCGCGACTGCTCAAGCTCCCACAATTGCAACACTTGTGGAGGACGACACCACACGCTTCTGCATCGTGGCAATCCAGCTTCCAGCGAGTCACATTCCATATCCGTACCCAATTCCACAGCTTGTCCAGACGTCAATCGACCAGTACCTTCCGCAGAAAATTCAAGTTATTCCGAACCTCATCCTAACGTTCAGACGTATTTCGCCTCCGGCACAAGCTCTGTCCTTCTAGGCACGGCAATTATTAATATTTGCCACCTTGGAAAAAATGTCCGCGCCCGCGCTCTGATCGACTCGGGCTCCGAGGCAACGTTCATTACGGAACGCCTTTTCAACACGATTCAATTGCCATTCCAACGTATTCAGACACAGATCTCCAGCCTCAATCAGACAGTATCCGCTCAGTCCAATAAGCTCTGTCAATCTTC